CTAGTCCAGTGTCCTGCTGCCATCCTTCCAAACAAAATCCCAAGGGCTGTGCAGTGTATCTGTAGTCATTAAAATTCCTGGTTGCTGAGAACAGAAACCTGCCTCAGAGTGACTGAAGCACAGAAGGAAACACGTTGGCTCATGTAACCGAGTAGCCTAGGAATATACTAGCATCAGGCATAGCTGGATCCAGGTGTGTGCTGCACTGACTGGCCAGGTGTGGATCAGGGACTCACCTCTGGAACTTAGGCTAGGGATAGGGAGATGCCCCAAAGTGGGAGGGAAGGATGGTTCTCCAAAGGAAGGGAGAATAGGAACTGGGCAAGCAAAAACAGCAGATACTACTCCAGCCCTCATTTGCTGTTTACAAAGCTCATCATCCCTCATAGGCGTATTCCGCAGTGAGTCACCACTGCACCCCGCAGAGAGTGGTGAGGGAGCCAGGAAGAACCCAGAGAGGAGCCCTCCCACAAACTGTCTGAGTCCCACCTGGTCTGCTTAGATGACAGAGCCTTTTGGACTTGTCAATCTGGGGTCAGAAAGGGAGATGTTTTAGGTGGCTCACGTTGGTGACTTTCTGTTCTGTGAGCTGTCTGCCAGCAATAGCAGGCTCTAGTGGTCTTTGCTCTGTTTCCTGGGGTTCATGAGAACATACCCAGGGGCTAATGAGCAGGGTCATAAATAATGAACAAACATACTGGAGGCAGGAAGCGTTGTTTTCCCAAGGATTGAACAAGAGGAGCAAAGCGCTGCGGGCTCACTCATGCTTTCTCCACAAAATAGAATCAAAAAGCTGTGCAAACTGCCCCCTGGTGTATAATATTATCCATATATTAAACATAACGCACTAATAAGAATACTTCATTTCATTATGTCAGTGGAGGAAGAAAGGGCAATCTAGCAGCTGCCCTAATCGGGCAGATGGGAAACCAGAAATGTTACTTAGATTCAGTCAGGAAAATCGACATTGAACCAATTTGCCTCACCGGCTTTTACTGTGTTTAACGAAAGCTCACGTCTTTATATAAGGCATCGTAAAACGGGCTCGGGAGCCATAAAGCTCTCTGTCGTGTCTTTGCAACACAACCAATGACTTTAACAGTTGGATTTCAAAAAACAGCTTTGTATTTTCCCAGAAGTGACAGGAGTGGGCAATATGAGGTGTCTGCATGTCCTCACCCTTCGAAAACCTACGAGAAGCAGGATGTTAGGGTTAAGGGGGAGGGGGTTTGCGGGTGGACCGGTGCTGGTAAGGTGGGGGGGATCCTGGTAAACCCCTAAGGAAAAGGCCACAGATCCTGGGACTTCAGGCAGGAGGCTGTTCAGCGCCCTTGGTGGACGTGGGATCAGCAGCCAGGGATGTGACGTGCTGTCGGGCCGGGGAGGGACCCATGTTTCCAGGCTCACAATTTAAAAGCTGCCTACCTTTGCAGAAGCGAGTCATGTGTGGAACCACCATTTTAGAGCTGATGAGATCCTGAGCAATCACCTGTTTTGTTCAGCTGTTCAACCAGCATTTATTGATCCTTCACTGTGTGCCCGGCACTGCTTAGGGTGCTGTGGTCAGTGAGACAGACGGGGGCCCTGCCCTCACGGAGCTCATCGGTATGTGGGGAAACAGATAAGATACACGTAACTCTATATTTATATTAGGTGGTGATAACTGTTTTGAAGGAAAAACAGTATACAAGTAAATACATATATTTATGTCAGGCGGTGATAACTCTTTTGAAGGAAAATAAAGCAAGATAAAGACAGGGGATGATGGAGGGCCTCTTTTAGCCAGAGTGGTCTGAGGAGGTGACATCTGAGCAGACCTTGAATTCAGTGAGGGATGCAGGCCTCTATTTCAGATCTCCTCAATCCTTGGTCTGCCAAGAGCTCCTTTGATTGCTTGCCCCCATGTTTTGTGATGTGTTATACCCCAAAAAGACGTAAAGATGACCACAGAGCTTGGTTAAGCTGAGTGAAGCAGGGTGACCACAGGGAGCTGACACAGCCCAGGCCCGAAGCTGGCACCTGATCCGTCCAAGAGGCTGGGCAAAACACACAGGAAATGAATCCAAAGTCCCAGTGACTCACTGCAGCTGCTCGGTGGCAGAGACAAGGCCAGACCCCAGGTCTCCTGAGTGACAAAACGGGTAGAAGCTGCCACAGGAAATGCCAGTATTTTTCTCAAAACACTAGCATGGGAAGAGCCAGTGGCTGAAATCTGAGGGTGGATTAGGAGGCCGAGGGTATCCTCACAGGAGGCTGGCAGAGCTGCCTCGAAGTATTTCCTCAAACCCCAAGGTGGAGCCCCAGGCCAGGGCCAGTGCTGCTGACCTAAGAAGGGCTGGCCAGAGGCCCCGGCTCTCGGGGACCTTTTCCTGCCCACTTCACTTGGGATTCCAGTGCTTGTCAATGGCCAAACTGCATAAGAACCTAGGTCTTCTGTCTCCAAGTCCAAGGCATGATGTCTCTAATCCAAGGCTGGGGTCCCAGGGATCAGACCACGCACCCTACTGAGAAGAGAAAAAGGAGCAGAGCCTGAGAAGGCAGTGCTCAGAGCATCATGCCCCCGTGGAATGAGAGCCGGCGTGCGCCCACCCCCCAGCACTGGGAGTCTTGAGAAAGGGCAAGGTCCACATTGTTTTCCAGATAATGGCAGCAGAGGCTGTGTACTGGAATCACAACAAGTCCTGGCCTTGCCCCTGGCTCCATCTGGTGACAGTTGGCAGCTGACATCTTTGCTTCTGGCCTGAGTTTCCCCTCATTAAAAATGCCATCTTTATAACAGATTTCTGCAAGTCACTGTCAATAGGACATACCCCTTGTTTTGTACCAGTCATTCCCCTGGGGGATTGGTCTGCCTGACACTATTCTTTTTAAATACCCTCCTGTTCTATATTATTCTACATCAGAATATCAGGTTCTAAATATAGTATGAATCACTAAGGGATCTTATTTTTTAAATTACTTTTCTCATACCATACAACTTCACCCCACAATTTAACAGCTGGGTTTCAAATCGAGTCTTTCATGTCTTCTTTTCAAATAGCCGAAAGATCCCATTTGTGCCCATGTGCTTCACTCTAGCCCGGCCTGTGAGGCAGGAGAGTCGTCCAGCTTCTGGCTTGTTCTGTGCAGGTTTCGTAGCTTTTTGCCTTCACTGGGTGGAGTAGGCTCTTAGTTGAAGCTGGGAAGAGCTCCCATCCACAAGCAACCCGAATGTCCACTGGTAGGGGTTTGGCTGCATGACTCAGGGCCCATTCAGATGATGGGACCCCGAACAGCTGGTGACAACTCCTGGGTGACACAGAGCCACACAGTGTGATTCCGTCTCTGGAGAAACAATATGGACTCGCAGGTGAAAGAACTGAAATTTACACCAGCATGAGGATGGTGCTTCCCTCTAGGTGACAGGATGATGGCTGATTTTTTTTTCTTCTTCTTTTTCTTTTTTCCTTAGCTGTGTGAGTTGGAATCTATGAGTGTTCCAAGAATAGTCCTTTCAGGCAGGGCTGGAGAAATCAGGGAAAGAGGAGGGAAAGCTGCTATTTTAGAGTGATCCGTGCTTAGAGCAGAACTGTTGGAAGTCAAGATGGTTCAGGGTGGTACACAGATGAACTTTTTTTTTATTTTAATAGGTGACTGTATAATGTGTATTAAGAAAAAATATAAGTAGTGCACTAGTCCTATGTGATCAAGTCCCCGCTGCTCTCTCTGACCTCATCCCCTCCACTCTCCTGGTTATTTACTCCATTCCAGCCCAGCTGGCTTCTCACCATCCTTCTCACACACAAGGTGCCCCAGGACCTTTGCACGAGCTGTTCTTTGTGCCTGAAATGCTCTTCCTCACATATAGCCAAGATCCACTCCATCTCATCATTCAGGTCTCAGCTTCACATGTCACCTGCTTTTCAGGCTCCTAACTCTACACCCCCTTTTTGTGTTTATTACTGTATGATTATTTGCTTGTTTGTTTACTAGACTGTGCATCCCTTGAAATCAGGGCTATGTCTGTTCTGTTCCCCACTGCCTCCTGGGTGCTATATGAATGGCACCTGGCATGTAGTGGTCATCTTCGTGGGTGAGAGGAGGAGGAAGCCATCGATGGGGATTGGAGGCAGTAATCTTGAGGACGGCTCCAGCTCTGCCAGTCAAGGAAACAGCCTTTATGCCTAGAAAAGAGCAAAGCTTCTGACCTCTCAACAGGGGCCTCCAGGTCTCAGTCCCTCTGCTCGCTTGGGACTCTGGGAAATCAGAAACAAGGGCCCAGCATGATTACTTAGTAAGACACCTGCAGCTGGTGGTCTCTGAGCCAGCCATTCAAAACATAGGTACCCTCTGGCCCCCAGCCTCTCACTCATTTAGGTCAAGGCACTGCTGCACTGGGTGCGCGGGGGACCCGTGGCCTGGGAGACAAGGCGAGTGGTCTAGCCCGGCTTTGGCACTGATTAGTCTGTGATTAGTCTGTGACTTTAATACTAGGGACTGGCAGTTATCGGGCCCAGCTGTGTGCCATGCCCTCCCCACTCATTCTTTAATACTGCAGAGAGCCCTGTGAGGGACCATCATTATCCCTGTTTTCTAGAGGAGAGACCTGGGCCCAGGAAGGTTAACGTGGCCGTGGTCCACACGGTTAGTGAGTAGGAGAGTCAGGGTGTATCTGGCTCCTAATAGGTATTCAGTGTCCGTTTGTAGAATGAACTAAGTGGATGAATAGCGTCCCCTAGGGGATTTGGGCTGCTGCGGGGGTGGCAGTGCCCACCTCTCACCAACCCCCTGTCCCTGCCCACACAGTGCCCTCTGGACCACTGTTGACTGCCCTGCTTGTCTTCACCCTTGGTGGCATCCAGCAAACCAGGGACCGGGGTCTCTCCTGCAGGTCAAACCCCACTGCGCACAAGACCTCATCAAGTGAGAATATGTACAAGAACAGAGTCAGCGGGGCTCCAACAGGGAGAGGAGGGGGGGTTTCACCAGGGCCAGTCCCCGCCGCCACGCACACGTTATCCTCAGGTGCCTCCCCTTTGCTGTGCCCGCCTCAAGCTGGTCTGCTGTTCTGCCAGCTCCTGTAGCCTGGCTGGTGTTTGTGATGCTTCCCCCATTGAATTAACTCACTATTTGTACTTCTCCACGAGACTCAGTGGAATCCTCTCTCTGGAGGGAACATCAGACCTGCACCAGCACCAGATCCAGAGCAGCCTCCCTGACTGGGCTCTCTGGCTTCCAGTCCCACGTGCCAGCCTATGAAGTGCCTTCTGTTCATTTAGACACATTTCCCAGCACCCCGTGTGCCAGCTGGGGGCTCTGGAAGACACGCAGAGACCACGCAGGCTCTCCACAGTGCCCTCGCCCCACCCCCCAGTCTGGAGTCCCGTCTTCCTCCCTGTCTCTCTGGCCTGCACCCACTCCACTTGGAATGCTGCCTCCTGAGAGGTGGGCCCTGTACCCACCCTGCACCCCTGCTGTAGGTCCTTCTCTTGTAGCTCTTTCTGGTTGGGTTTTTCTTCTTGGGTAGCACCTACTCCACTTACAATTTAACCATTTGTAAAAGTACTTCTTTGATATCTATCTTCATATTCAAGCTCCATGAGGGCAGGGCTCATATCTGTCGGTTCACTCTTATATCCCCAGCACTTAACTGGTACATGGTCAGTACCTGAACAATATATGAAGACTGAATTAGGGGCTGAATGAAGGAGCTTACAGAATACCCTCAGAGAAGCCCCCCAAGTTATTGGGAACTAGAGCTTTTCAGACAGAAGTGGAAAAAAATTTTTTTCTGTTTTGCAATTGTTAGATGTTTTTCTTACCTGGTATCACCCATCACCCCCCCATCTCAGGGGTGCACTAAGGTAGGTGAGAGGCCTATGACACAGTGGAAGGGCCTCTGGAAATTTTGTCCCTGCTCTGCCACAAGCTAACCATGTGACTGTAGGCAAGTCTGTCCTCTCTAAGTCACAGTTACCTACCCAGGCAGGGGGCATCATGGTAGGAGCATGACCTTTGTCATCAGATAGTATCACAGCTGATTTGGCAGTTGCACAGTGTCACTAGGAATGCCCTATACCCCTTTGACCTGCCGTCCTTAGGGTGGTAGCCTTTAACCTCTTGGTCACAACATGGCTGCCATGGCTCCAGTATTTACTTCGTCATGCAACCACATGTTAAGGCAAGAAGCCAAGGAACGGCTGGCGGAGGGACAGCCAGGGACACGGGGGCAGTGGAGAAATGAGGGGACCGGAAAGCTGTTCTCAAAGGTCTGTCACTGGAACAAGAAGAGAAAGTCTTTCTCAGAGGCATTTCTAGCCAACTCCCCTTCAGTCTTACTTGCTTGAGCTGGATCACATGGTCACTCTTAGCTGCAAGGGAGACAGGGAAGGGAACGCACCATGGTGAGAATGGCTGTTGGGCAGCAGCCAGCATGTCTGACGCACATACCCTTCAGTTGGCCCTTGGCAGCTGCCACTTTATACTGTTAACTCTCATGTTCTCAGCACTAGCTTTCTCACCTGGAACAAGAGCCCTGGGAAGGCAGGGACCAGGCTGAACCCAAGTGAAACATGTCAGGAAATTCCTATTGATTGGCGGCTTTACCCCTTGTTACTCGATTCTTCTCTCACGGCCAAAATGGTCCTCCTGTTAATAAACACCAGCGTCTGTCTCCCATTGAACATGATTTATTGTCCTTTCAAATAACAAATGCGAGTTTTTTTTTAAATGAAACAAAACAAACATGATAAGAGAGTAAAAAAAAAAAAAAAATCACTGAATGCTACCATCCAAAAGTGATCTTGATGATATTTTGTTAAGCATCCTCCCACGTCATCTTTTCTCTCTCCCACCTTCTCCCTCCACACCCCCACCTCTTACCAACACCATCACACACAAATCTAGTTTTATACAAATGGCTGCGCGGGGCACATGTTGTACTCTAACCGGTGTTTTCATTTTACAATCCTGTCCGGGTCCGTTGCTCTGGTAGGTTCTGTGGAGCCCCTAATTGCTGGTACGTGGCTCATTAACTCACTGGTATCTCACTGTTGCCTGTTTGATTAAAACTGTGTTCTCTGAAGCCAGGGTGGTGTTTTTCCCCCGCTGGGGAGGGCTGTGGCTCTAGGGCCAGAGCCACATTGCTGATCAGGTCTCCCCGACGACTGGAAACTGTTGTCAGTGGTCCCGCGAGTGAAGCCCTGAGCACTGACCCTAACCCAGGCAGCCCACAGGTGATGAGAAACACATTTTATAACCTCATTAAGCGGCTCCCAAATCAGGAAATTTAGCTTTTCGACCCACTGCTGCTCCTGTGATGTTCATTAGGTAAATTCGCAGATCCTGTGCTCCAGTCTGGACCGTGCGCCCTCTTGCTGTCCTGTCTTCCTTCCTGTGGCTGTGAGCCCTGCTTCTCCTCCTGCGGGGGGCGGAAGGGGTCTTCCCATGGTGTCCAGCCTCCCTGCTGCCCCTTGGCCCCGGGTCACTTCCTGTCCTCAAGAGGACAGACACCGGACACCCAGCACCCTGTACTTTCTCCCCCAGCTCCACTTAGCAAATGCAATAATGTCAATAACAGTCATCATAACAGCTGAGCTGATTGAGTGCTTCCTGTGCCAGGCCCTCCTCTTTACATGCCGTGGCCCAGTGAGGGTAGCCACTGTTAATTACTAGGCCCATCTCCATGGAAAGTTGAGGAAACTGAAGCATCAAGCAGTTAAGGAAATTGCCCAGTCACACGTCTCAAGTCTGGCTCCAAAAGCACCCCCTTAATCTGAACTCTTAAAGGGATTATTGTGGAGGATGGAGAGATGGTCCTGGTGCCGGGGAAAGGGTGCTGATAAAAGGAAGCAGAGGAGGGGCATTTAATCCACCGTGGAGATGGAGTGAAAAATCATGTGTTCCAGCAGCTTAGAGTCTGTGCGTTTGTGAACCTCCAGAAATGGGGGGTAAAACTGTGTGTGTGTTGGTGCGTTTGTCACAGTGTCAGAAGCATCTGTGATTCAGAGAGGGAGAATGGCTGCTGGGCCCGATGATCCTCCAGGGTCCCTTCCAGCTCCTAATCCTGTGGTTCTGTGACCATATAAGGCCACTGCGCCTGGGGAGCCTCACTGCAGCAGAGTGCAGTCCTGCACTGAGAGGGGGAAGCAGAGAGCAAAGGGAGCCCCAGCCCAGGCCCCCTGCAGGGTCTCCAAGGCAGCAGAGAGAGGAGCTGGGATAGGAGAGGTGGTGGTGGTGGGGCGGGGAGTGGGGTTCCTCCTTGATCGCCTCTTCCCAGAAAGCTCAGACCTGCTCCAGCCGGCTCGGCTGCTACCCTCCCTCTCTCTCCCCATTTCCACTTGGGATCTTCTCCCTCAGTTGTGTTGCCAGGTTTCCAGAGTCCAGCTGGTGGCTCCTGTCCAAAATCAAACACAAGCCTGCAGAATCAGCCCTTGCTTGCTCCCCAGGTTTCTTCTGGTTTGGTAGCTTGGAAAACCCCACACCCCTCAGAGTCCCTGAGTTTGGGATGGGCACCAACACAGCATCTAGCTTGACCCTCCTTTGCTACCCTGGCTCTGAAGACATAGGAAATCTGGTGAGTTCTCACCCCAACACACACACACACACACACACACACACACACACACACACACACACACACACACACACACACACACACACACACACGTCTGCCTCCTTTAGTGAGCTCCTTGGAGAGGGGTGGGTCTTGTGCATCAGTGTAGACCTGGTTCATGTAGTTGTGTCCCACTTCCCCTGAGTACTATCAGAGCCTAGCCCTGTGCCAGTTGTTATGGAGAGGAGGAACTGAGATGGATGAGATGTGGTACCTGACCTCCAGGGACTGACATGCTGGTGGTAAAGACAGAAAGTTAATAAACAAGTGCACTAGGAAATGGTCTCCCAAGGTACGAAACATGTTTTAGTCATGACTGTATTGGTTGTAAGTGACAGAAACCCAAATCAGATTAGCTTATGCAGAAATAAGAGGGAGTGGTTTGACTCATATCACTCAGAAGTGTAGGGATAGGGTTAGCTTTAGGAATAGCTGGATCCAGTGGCTCAAATGATGTCTCTGGGACTTGATTCTATACTCTGTCACTCAACTATGTAGATGAAGTTTGGTTTGTCTGGGGCTGCTGCAGTGTGAGATGTCAGAGGTGCCACATGCAGCCTCACTCCTGCTTTCCAAATCCTGGCCTGGTCTCCTCCAGGGCTCAAACCTGGGCTGTCACAAGAAACCAGAAACCAGACTCCCCTGGGCTGCCTCTCCAACCCCTAACCAAACACCTCCTTTCCTTGCCCCATACTCCTTGGGCTGATATTATAGGAGATGTTTTGATGCTCACTTTGTATGGGAAATCTCTGGGTTCTCTGGGAACTTAGATACAGGGATCCCAAAAGAAGCAGCAGTCCTGCCTGTCAGCATCCACCTGGTGGGCACAAGCACAGCCTCGAATGCCATTGTCACACTTACCAGCTGCGTGACCTCGCGTAACTGGGTTAACCTCTTTGAGCCTCAGTTTCCTCTGTCAAGAGAAGATAAAATTATCTCCTAGGTTTGTTTTGAAGATTAGACGAGATAGTGCATGTAAAGCACTTAACACAAAGACTTAACCCTCAAACATTAGCGGCTGTTATGATTCTGCTTCTTTTGTACCACCAGTGAAGGAAATTCTATTTGGGGGATTTTGACTTTAGAATGAAGATATTATCACTAACAGCTACTATATATTATATACTTACCATACAATAGGCACTTTACATTTATTCCTCACAGCAGTTCCTTGCAGCTGAGGAAACCAAGGCCTGAGGGGTTAAATCCTTTGCCAGGAACGCACAGCTCATCAGTGATGGAGCTGGCGACCCCATCTTTCTGACTCCTAAGCTCTGACCACTCTCCGGAATGAGATGGGAAATAGAAAATAAAGGGGCCTTAAGTGATACTTTTAAGGATATGTGACTGAAGTCAATGCTGGGGCGAGGGGGTAGGGAGCAGAGAAGAATGGGGCATGAAAGAAATACCGAAGGACTTACACTAAAAAAATCCAGCCTTTTTCTCTGAATGGTAGAATTATGAACATTTATTTATTTTTGGTGTTGTTCTGTATGGTGCAACTTTTCTATGTTTGAGTACTTACTACTTTGTAGTCAGAGGGAAGGGAAGGTGTAAAATTCTACCCTGAAGCAGGAAGCCCAATTTTAAGCTAATATAAGCCAGTTTGAACAAGTTTTGCAACCAATAATCATGATTTGAGCAATTTTTGGCCAAACTGCTTCATTTTTGTAAACCCCGAATGAAGCTTCTCTATCTTGGGCCACCCCAGGCACCAGTGAGACCTTCCAGGCAGTATTCTGCCTAGTCCAGTCTGAGGCCTGAGGGGTGGCAGAAAGGACTGTGTACCCAGAGACCCAGGTTCTGCTCCTGCCTGTGGCTCTCACCCTGCCTGCTGAGAGCCATTAGGCCAGTTACTCAATCTCACTCAGTCTCCTTTTCTAGAGATGGGTATAATGAAATCCTACCCTCCCTACCTTGTTAGGTGGTGTAAAGAATTAATGCTAACAGGTGTGAAAAATGACAGTCCCATCCACTAGTGGAAGGAAGTCCTGTAGGCAGCTGAGGGTCTAGAGAGTATTCCCAGGAGAGTGGCAAGGCCTGCTGGTCCAGAACGAAGCATGAGAAACTCATTGCACTGGCTTCTTGGGAGAGTGTGTCATGGGGACCAGTAAATCCAGACTGCACCTCTCAGGTCACCCAGAGTTCACCCTCTGAGGGGAGTCTGGTCTCGGAGACTTTTTTAGTGATGGTTCTAGAGTTTACAATATGTATCTTAACTTATGCTTTACTTTAAAGTAATATTATGCTACTTCATGTATAATACAAGAATTTTTCAACAGTATTTTTCCATTTTACCCCTCCCATCCTTTGTGCTATTATATAAATTTTACTTGTATGTAATGCATTTTCAGCCTTTTTCCTCTCTTTGCTTCAGTTTGGATGGTTTCTATATTGGTGTATTCAAGTTCACTAATCTTCCGTGTGTCTAAATCTGCTGTTAATCCCCTACAGTGAAATTTTTGCCTCGGATATTGTATTTTCATCTTTAGATACTTCGTTTTGTTCTTTTTTATCTTCCATTTCTTTACTCATTATACTCATGTTTTCCTTTAATTTCTTGAAAATATTTTAAATAGGTGTTTTTGAGGTCTTATTTGTTAATCCATCAGCTCTGTCACTTCTGGGTCTGCTTCTGTTGACTGATTTTTCTCCTGGTTATGGGTCACACTTTCCTCCTCCTTTGCATATCCAGAATTTTTTTATTGGATGCTGGATATTATTAAGTGTCTGGGTTTTGTTGTCCTCATTTAAAGAGTGTTAGATTTTATTCTGTCATGCAGTTAGGTTACTTGTGGGTCAGTTTGGTTTTTTGAGGCCCATTTTTCAGTTTTGTCAGGGCAGGTCTAATGTAGCCTTTACTCTAGGGCTAGTTTAGCCCTACTACCATGGCATGAGCCTTCTGGGGTTTCTGCCAAACACCCTAGGTGTCAGCTCTCCACTCTGGTTAGTCAGAACTTGAGCATCTCCCAGCCTTGGCCAGCTCTGGGAGGTGTCCTCCTTATAAGCTCCCTGACACTTGTTTCTTGAGCTCGTAGAGTCTCACTCTGTTCAGCCAAAGACTCAAGGAGACCCCTGTTCAGATATCTGGAGCTTTCCCTCTCTCTGCACTTTTCTCTCTGGTACTCTGCCCTTCAATTCCCAGTCCCCACAGCTTTCCTGAACTTTTATCTTTATCCCATCAGCTCAGTAAGACCCCTGTGCTCTGCTTGGGTCCTCCCTCCCTGCCCTGAGGTCTGGTAGATGCCTCCAGGCAGAAAGCCAAGGCAATCATAGGACTCACCACGCTTTGCTTCCTTTCTGTTCCAGATGATGGTCCTGTGCTGCCTGTTCTCCAGTGTCTGAAACCACTTGTTTAATGTATTTTGTCCAGTTTTCTGGCTGTTTACAGTGGAAACTAACAATTCCCTTTGAGATCCCCCTGGGGTTGTACACCAATGCCTCAGACTGGGTGTACACTCAAGAAACTTGTGCAAAAACGGAGTTAGGGCTAATAAAAGTCAGTGAAAAGGCAATAGGGTCATTTTGATCTGCTTCTTAGAGAAACTCAGGATAAAGACTCACAACCCAGCACCAAGTCACATTTTATAACAGGAATCATTAGTGTCCATCAGCTAACGAATAGATAAGTAAAACGTGGTATATCTGTCCATGGAATCTAGTTTGGCAGTAAAAAGAAAGGGAGTACTGACGCATGCTACAACAGGGATGAACATGTCAAGTGAAAGAAACTAGTCACAGAAGACGACACCTCGTGTGATTGCCTTTATGTGAAATGTCCAGAATAGGCAAATTTATAAAAACAGAAGGCAGCTCAGATGAGTGGTTGCTTACTGCTGGGGTAGGGGATGGGGAGGGACTGCTAATGGGTACAGGATTTCTTTTGGAGAGGACAGAAATGGTCTAAAATTAGCCTGTGGTGACCATTGCCCAACCTTGTGAATATACTAAGAAGTACTGAATCACACGCTTTCCATGGGTGGATTGTATGGTCTGTGAACTATATCTCAATAAAACTGTTTATACAAAGAAAGAAAACTTGTTAGCAGTTTTCTCCTGTACTGAAGGATGTGAAGGGCTGGAGAGGGGCTGTGGAGGTGGAAATGGAGGTCTGAGCTACTATACAGTTGGATGTACATGTTACAGGTAGCATTGAGTCTTGGACTGAAAAACATGACCACAGGAGAGTTTGCACGGGGCATGACTAATGTTGGATGTTAGTCTTGAAATCCATTTGTCCTTTCTTAATTACCTCAACCATGAGAGGATTCTTGCAAAGTCTTGGCTTTACCCCCTCTCTAGTTCTCTCTCCTCCCCACACCCTTGTCGGCAGTGGGCGTTCACTGAGCGGCCGCCATCTGCAGGGAACAGGGACCTCAGGGCATGTCCAGCCTCAGCCCTCACCCCAGAGGAACCTGAGAACAGGAGGGCAGGGAGTGTCGCATGGCCTCTGAGAACTGCAGTGTCGCCTTCGTGTCCTCCATGTCATGTTCAGAGCCATCAGAATAAGGGTGACACAGTGGTCACGTCCCAGCTGAGGATGGGGGAGTAGGCAACTCCTTCTGTTGGCTTTTCTCTTGTCAAAGAGGAAGGTTTTAAGTGAGTGCTCTTCCCTTCATTAAAAGCAGTGTAAGTTTTCTGTGAAAGAAAAAGTGTATTCTTCGTGTGCAGGCTTCTCGCAGGGGTCTTCAGCAGTATACTCCTAAGTGGGTATTTAAGTTAAAACCCTGAGCTTTGCTTAAAAATACTAACGGTGAACATTTATCGAGTGCTTAGTGTGTGTTCTAAGTACTTTCAAGTATTGTCAACCCCTTGACTGATCTTTCTTTCACGGTACCTAGGGAATGTAAAAAGACTGCGTTTCTTTTTTCCACTGTTCTGTTTTTCAGATTAATTTTCAGTAATTTAGGTCGATTTTTCCTTCAGATTTTGTGGTTTTATCACAGCAGCTCAGTAATTCAGCATCCGAGCTGGGCCCGGCCCTCAGCCGGGAGGTTGGCTGGGGTGGGGCTTCACGTGCCCGGCACGCTCGGTGCCAGGTGTGGACAGCGCACTCATCAGGCATGCTGTGTGTGGTTTTGCTCTAGGATCATCCACGAAGATGGCTTCTCTGGAGAAGACGTGAAACAGTACAAGCCCGTTGTCTACAGCAACACCATCCAGTCCCTGGCAGCCATCGTCCGGGCCATGGACACTTTGGGCATCGAATACGGTGACAAGGAGAGAAAGGTAGGCTGCTGCGCCCGTGCACACGGGGAGGAGAGGGCCGTCTCTGGTACCCGCTGCGTCCTCTTCATCAGGCCAGGCTGCCGTGCAGGGACAGGACGAGACTGTGCTGTGTCACCCGCCAGTGTACCAGTCGACCTGGCCAATACAGTTAAACAGGGGCTCTGGTGACAAGCAGACCGCCACAGCACAATCGCCAAGGAAGGAGACAACAGCCACAGAATTCCAGGGTTTATTTTGCAGATGAGAAAGGGTTGGTGACTGCCCTAAACTGGGACTCTCACAACATTGTCCAAGTACATGCCCTTGGGCAGTTGACCTGAACAGAAAAAATATTTCTTAGACAAAACAAGCCCCACCTAGCCACCATCTTCCCTCCTTAGGAGAGCTTTCCTTACCTTGTTGGGGGTGGGGCAGCCATTTGAATTCAGTCTCTTCCCTCCTTTGCCCCATGGGTTGTGTTTTCTGCCCCTCCGAGGTGTGTCTGAGGACCGAAGAGGCTCTCCTTCCTGTAGGAGGTCGACATCCTAGAACAGGGACAGTTTTTCAGTTGAGTTTCCAGGCATCTGATAAGTGGTGAATGGAATAAGTTGTAAAAGCCTCTTTTTTGCAAACATTTGCGTTAACTGTAAGACTGAACCTTACACAGCTATACTGGCAAAGCCAAATAAAAGGTGGCAGGGAGGGAGGGAAAACAGCCTCAGATAAGTCTATCTAAAAGTGACTCTTCGTCTCCTGGTGGGACCCTGAATCCCAGCGATCCCCCTCCTGTGACCTGGAGTGTGAGGAGGGGAGCAGGTGGAGGCCTCCGAGCGCCTGGGCCCCTCCTTGGAGGCTCTGGACGGAGAGCGTTAATCTCCGATTACTGCGTGGTTTGGTTATACATAGTGTATATATCCTGTCTTGGCTAAAAAATCACCTCCCTTACAGAGGAAAACTATCTTCACCTTCTCTGGGTCTGATAAATCATCTGCGACAGATAGCTTTAAATGTAAAATTCAATACTTTATGCACAAAATCCTAATTCCATGCGACAGAGTCATCCCAGCTCAGGCACTGCCTCCTCCCGGAAGATGGGAACTGGGTGACTGAGAGTGTGTCCAAGACCAGCCTGGGGTGGGGAAGCCGGGCGCTGCCCCTCTGCAAGGCTGAGTCTGGAAGCTGGGTCTGCAGAGGAAGTACTTCTCCCCAGGGACTAGCTTTGGATTTGGTCATAGAGCCAGGGCCTGCGGAACCAGGGGCACTGAGTTCTTCAGTCTTGTTTCCACTAAGTATTCACTGAGAGTACAGTGTACCAGGCCTTGCTGGGGATACAGGAACGAGCACAGTAGGAGCGGAGCTGGAGAAACCAGTCAGCAAAGAGCAACTCAGATCATCAGAAGTAGCCAAGACAGGTTACAAGTAGCCAGACAAGTTACAGGGTTTCATTCATTGTTAATGATAATGGCCACAGTGCTTATACAAATAGCTCTCTTGTATTGAACTCCTCCTAGCTGCCAGGCACTGTGCTAAGCACCTTACAAGTATTAACTCACTTTACTCAACTCAGTCATTAAAGCCCAGAGCAGGAAATGCCTGGTATGATCTTCAGACATGGGACAAGCCACAGGCCTTTGGTCCTTCTGTCTGCCTTTTGGCCAAAGAGAGAGCATGGAGCCTGAATCTCAGTTAACCAGACGACAGGCCCAGTGCAAAAGCTCACGTGTCCACAGCTCACACCTTACACAAACACCCACACAAACACACATGCACGCAGGCACACAAAACCACAGCCTGCGAGATCTTCCAAGAGTATGTGTGTTCACCGCCATGCCCACCTCCCAACCAGTCTTCTTTCCCCAAAACCTCCTGCCCGGATTATAACCCAGACAGTCAGTGTGACTTCAGAATGCTTTTCTCCTTCAGTTTTGGAAAACGTTTGTTGTTCACGGGGGGATTTTTCCCCCCCATTTTATTATCCTGAATAGAGAGATGATTGCTTGGGAATTGCTAGGAAGATGATATATTAAGGACTATACTGTGGGACCCCTTGGCTTCTGTGGCTGTTCCTCTTCTGTGGGATACCTGGTTGAGACAACCCTCAAGTAGGAGATCAGGAAAGGCTCCTCTGGGAAGGGAGACCAAGAGCAGAGTGGGGACTCCCTGGAGAGTCCACTGGACACAGAGAGGAGCTGGAGCCCAGTCCTCTTCCGGCAGGTGGCACCGTGGCAGACGCCTGACCGGTCTGCGGGGCAGCACAGGTTTGTCAGGCACAGTCCTTCTGGCTGGCAAAGGCCTCCAGGCCCTGGGGCCTGTGTTATTTCACCTTAGGCTAAAGTGAGCCAAGCAGCTGGAGAAGGTGTTTGCTGGGAGTGGGCTGCTCTGGATTTGCTGTTTGGGCAGCGGGGTGCAAGGATCCCCCGCCTGCCTGCATATCAGTTGTCAGGGGCTTGAGGTGGAAGGGGGCAGCCACTTCAGACTGGGTGGCCAGGGAAGGTTCCCCTGAACATGGAAGGGATATTTGTGATGAAACTCGACTCTAAGGAGGAGCCAGCCGTGGGAGGAGGAGGAGGGACAGAGGTTCTAAGCGGACGCTACCAGGGCCCTGAGTGAGAAGTGACCCTGGCAAGTTGGGAACGAGAAGCTCTGTTCAGCCTGAACTGCGTCCGGGGGCAGAGGTGGGCCCTGGGGTGTTGGACGCCCTCCAGTCAGGTCTGCCTGCAGCTGGCCAGTTGTTGGTGACCAGATGCCCTGACCCCAAGGCTGGGTCTCCAAACTCTTTCCTCTCTCGGGTTCCCAGGGGCTGCCCACCTGGGGGATCTGCTGTTTGGATATTGGGAGAACCGTCCCATGCAGAGCCGACCCAGATTAGTGTTTTGATGTGTAAAGAAAAGACCTCCTTCTCTCTCTTGGCTTCCGCACGTCCGACATCGTCCCCCCACCCGTAATGACATATCTGGAGGAAAACAGCCCTACACCCAGCACCTGCTTGGGCCAACCAGCTTTATACTCTCCATACAGAGAAGCATCTAGAAGCTTCCTTGCCATACCTCATTAGAACAATGCCCTTGACTTCTCCTGGCAGCTGGCTTGCCCCCCGCCCTGGCCCCCCAGTGGAGGGAGGACTGACTGGTTTCTCCTGCAGCCTCTCTGGGGTGTGGACTCACCTGAGGCCATATGACAGTACATGAGCCCAAGCCTGAAAGAGACTCTTTGTTGGGCAAACGGCAGGGATCTCCTTATACACCCCACGCCCCAGCACCCCCAGGCCACAGACTGCTCCCCAAAGATACCACACACTCCCACACCTCCAGGCCTCGGCTCAGACCACACCTTCTGCCTCTTGTGCCTTCTCCCCTCTCTTCCCCCTGGAGCTCTTCCTGCTCAGCAAGGACCAGCTGAGCTCCCATCTTTGCATGAAGACTTCCTCTCCTTCCCCTGACAGCCCAGCCCAGCTCAGCTCAGCTCAGCTCAGTTCAGCTCAGCTCAGCTCAGCTCAGTGCTTTCTCTGTTGAGCATGTATCTCATGCAGTGTGTCCGCTCTTTCCTTAGAGCAGTGACCCTTGTGCTTCAGGGTGATCAAAACCCATTTGAGCAACTAATGAAAGCCATGAGCCTTCTCTCCAGAGCCGTGCACCCACTCACACGTCCAGGAAATTTTTCATACCATTTCAGGGGGCTCTGGAACTCATAAAGCCCACCAGTGGAGCCTAGAATAAGAACTCCATTATGTCTAAGGTCTTTCTGCTCAAGGCCTGTGTCATTCATCTTTGGGTCACCTCCCCACCCCAACAACCAGCACAGTGCTCAGCACATAGTAGACCCACCCAAAAAAATCTCTTGAGTAGAAAGACATTTCTAACTTTCTCGGTACTCAGAGAAAAAAGGAAAAGAACCTGTAATGTTATCACTACTGAACAGATGTTGACTGAGTACCTACTATATGTTTAGTTTGTGCTAAGCTCTGGAGAAAGAGAGGAATGTGGGATGGGGCCTTGAAGGGGCTGGTCATCTTCTTGGGAGGACAGGGCTCTTAGGCTTATTCCATGAAGTGGTCAGGGAAAGCTTCTTAGAGGAAGTGAGGCTGGAACTGTCCTTGAAGCAGAGGTATGGCTTCACAGGCACAGATGTAGGTGAGGAAAGGGACTTGAAGCAGAGAAGAGCATGAATAAAGGCCATGGGTTGGTGGTGACCAGAGGAGATTTGACTGATGGAGGAGGCCAGTGGCCAGGACAGAGGATTAGGATATGGGAAGGTGTGGGAAAGTTAGAAGTTACAGTTAGGTCCAGATTGGGTAGGCCTTGGAAAGTATGTCAAGGGGTTTGGGTTTTATCCTGTTGGCAGTAGGCAGCCATTGATAAAGTTTGAGCTGGGGAAGGATGGGATGAAAGCGAGTTTTAGGAGATTATCATGATGGCATGTGCATGGTGGGCTAGTGGTGGGAGAGACTGAAGGTCAGGAGGCAGGTTGGGAGCTACAGTAAGGGTCTCGATGGGAGTTGGAAAGGAAGGGCAGCAAAGTGATGTGTGGTGATGAAAGAAAGGGACCTGGTAGTTACTTGGCTACTGGGGCAAAAGTGTAAGGATCAGGGGCTTCCCTGGTGGCGCAGTGGTTGAGAGTCCTCCTGCCAATGCAGGGGACGCGGGTTCGTGCCCCGGTCTGGGAAGATCCCACATGCCGCGGAGCGGCTGGGCCCGTGAGCCATGGCCGCTGGGCCTGCGCGTCCGGAGCCTGTGCTCCGCAACGGGGGAGGCGGGAAAAGTGAGAGGCCCGCGTACTGGAAAAAAAAAAAAAAAAAAAAGTGTAAGGATCAGGAAACTGGGACTCTAGTGTTACTGGCCTGGATGACTGGAAACAAGGTGACACCTCTGGCAGAAAGTCAGGAGACAGGCTGGGCTGGGCCAAATATGGTCTCAACCTCATGGGCTCCAGCTGGAATCAGCAAGTAGTAGATGGACTCAGAGAACTGCAGCTCCAAGAATTGAAGATGATGATAATAGTTGCTTTCAATTTTTATGTTCTAGGGCTTGCATTAAACCATTTATATTAATTAAAAATTTTAATCCTAACAGCTACCTGTGCAGTGGGTGCTATTGTTATCCCCATTTTACAAGTGAAAAAAAAAAAAGAGGCACAGAGAGGCAAAGTGACTTACCCAGGGACATTCAGCACAAAATATATACGTATATAATACAGATTTGTAACCCCAAGGAAGCTATAATTCATATAGCTCAGGTCCAGAGCAGAGTCCCATTTAAATAGGCACAGTACAACCAGGCAAAACAAATCTTCAGAATCCCATTCTTTCTTCTGAGTTTCTCCAGAAATATGAAAAGGGACTCAAAGGGCAACATCCACTGCTTTTCTCACAAGTCGTTTTCTGTCTTCCTCATGTCTGTCCCAACCCCACTCTCTTTAGCTGCTTTCTCTCTAAGTTCCCCAAGAGACCATCTCTCTACCGCCAGCCTGCCAGGCTTTTCCCCTCCTGTCCTCTTTCTCCTTCTTGCTATTCTGCCTCTTTTCCTCCTGCTTTCTTCCTCCCTCTCCTGCTCTATGCCTAGACGGGGTCCCCTCTCCTCTTCTCCCTCTTTCCCTTTCTCCAACTGTTCCTGAGTTTCTCTCTTTCTTCTTCTCCCTGTCTCTCTCTCCATCTCCGTCTCCCTCCTTCCTTCCCTCCCTACTCACCCCCAGTTCATTATCATGTAAATTCTCTAAACTTTTTGAGTGGAGTCCCTCTCCCTCCCCCTTCCTCCGTCCTCAGCCCAGGGCCTGCATCTGCATCACAAAAGCAGAGAAACTTGTGTGGCAGAACTGACCTAAACTCAGACACTGGAAGAAAGTCTGGGGGAGACTGGACAATTACAGGTTTAGGAGGTTCACTTGGACGACCGTGGGAGATGGGGAAAGTCTGTGAACAATCCCATGTTATAAATTTTATCACACCCATGTGTATATAAAAATATACATAAAATTTATGTGCATATACATGTATACTTGCATATGTAAAGTACATTATAATGGGACAATAGCGAAGAGATAATGCTTTGAACTTGTATAAGGCTTTATTCAGTTGAAAATACTCTCATTTTCGTTTTTTCATCGTTTGTGCATATGCCTATTTCTCCCATTAAATTATAAACTCTCTGAGGACAGAATATAGATCTTATCTGTCTAGTACAATGCCTGACACAAGAAGTATTGGATGCTGCATTCAGTCAAATCCCAGCTGGGCTTTTATCATAAATGGGTGTTGAATTTTGTCGAAAGCTTTCTCTGCATCTATTGAGATGATCATATGGTTTTTCTCCTTCAGTTTGTTAACATGGTGTATCACGTTGATTGATTTGCGTATATTGAAGAATCCTTGCATTCCTGGAATAAACCCCACTTGATCATGGTGTATGTTCCTTTTAATGTGCTGTTGGATTCTGTTTGCTAGTATTTTGTTGAGGATTTTTGCATCTATGTTCATCAGTGATATTGGCCTGTAGTTTTCTTTCTTTGTGACATCCTTGTCTGGTTTTGGTATCAAGGTGATGGTGGCCTCGTAGAATGAGTTTGGGAGTATTCCTCCCTCTGCTATATTTTGGAAGAGTTTGGCCCTGCGTAAATTATTTAACTTCCTTAACCCTCAGTGTTTCTGTATGTAAAACAGGCATAATTCTAATACTGTCCCCTTTCCTCTGTTGTAAGACTAAATGAGGTGATGCATGTGAAGCGCTTAGGACAGTGCCTGACACGTACAGCACTTACTGGGCGGCCCAGGGTCAGTGACTCAAGCGGGACTAAAGATCAGTGCTGTTTCTGGAATTGCTGCCCAGCCTCTAATGTTCCACCAGGAGGCTTCATTAGAACACCCCCTCCTTAGAGATAATGGCACTATTTGGGGAGGCAGAATCAAATTTCATACTTAGATTCCAGAATGTCATTGGATCTCCTCTGGTAAAAGAAATCTTGACATTTAAGTCACACAGTGGAGCGCTGAACACTAACTTCTTTTTTTTTTTTTTTTTTTTTTGCGGTACGCGGGCCTCTCACTGCTGTGGCCTCTCCCTTTGCGGAGCACAGGCTCTGGACGCGCAGGCTCAGTGGCCATGGCTCACGGGCCCAGCCGCTCCGTGGCATGTGGGATCTTCCCGGACCAGGGCACGAACCCGTGTCCCCTGCATCGGCAGGCGGACTCTCAACCACTGCGCCACCAGGGAAGCCCCTAACTTCTTTTTAATCAGGGGAATGTGGTGGCGCCATCTCCACGGCACAGTGCCGTTCACCCTGTGGTTTACACGAATTCTGA